ATGAAGAAGTCTCCCTGTCTTCCCTCCCCCTCCGTTCCCCTTCTCCAAAAGCCCCCACCCTTACCTTCCATATTCTGTCAGAGGCAGTCTGTGTGCTTACAAAAAACTGTGTTTTATTAATGGACACAGTGGCAAATTATAATTTTTCTATAACTTGCTTTTTTCACTTTTATCATGGGGATTTGCATAATTCACATAACCATTTATATTGGCATTTTATATTAGATAGTTTAAATAACCACTTATGTTGACATATATTTTTATTGATGGACATTTTTAATGGTATTGAAAAACATTATTTGGGATATACATATGTTTAAACGTGGAATTTTAGGGAGGTGGTTTCAACCATCAGTCCTTTCAAGGGAAGGATAAAATAAGATTGCTGGCCTTGGCATCCTAGTTTTGATTTATGATTTCACAGAACTATTTTTTTATGATATATTTTTTATGGATTTCAGAGAGGAAAGGAGAGGGAGAGAGAGAGAGAGAGAGAGAGAGAGAGAGAGAGAGAAACCAATAATGAGAATCATTGATCGGCTGCCTCCTGCATGCCCTCTACTGGGGATTGAGCTCACAAGCCCGTCACGAGTCCTGAATGGGAGTTGAACCATGACCTCCTGGTTCATAGGGAGACGCTCAACAACTGAGCCACGCTGGCCGGTTTACATAGAAATATTTTCTAACTGAATAATGATTTTTGCCATGCGGGTGTTAGCATATGGTTGAGATAAGATTTCTTTCTCTGTATTACAGATGTGACAATGCATATGAAGACCACAGATGTATAAAATAGCCTAGGTATGTAGGAAATTCAGTTTAACATGACTCAAGTGAATGAGTGGAGCAGTGAGATTATGTGTGGGGGTTAGTGAGTGAGAGTGTGGGTGAGGGAAATGGAGATGAGTGGGTGTGAGTGTGCAGGGGAGGGGAGTGTCAGGAGAATTCAGGGAGGCGATGTTGGAGGGCCTCTCAGGAGTCAGGGTTTCATCGTACAGGAATTAAGATGCCATTGAGCCCTGGTCAGTGTGGCTCAGTTGGTTGGACGTCGTCCTGTGCACCAGGAGGTTGCTGGGTATATTCCAGGTCAAGGGCACATGCCTGGTTGCAGGCTCAATCCATGGTAGGGGGTGTGCAGGAGGCAGCTGATCAATGTTGTGCTCTCATATCGGTTTCTCTCTCTCCCTCTCCCTTCCTCTCTAAAAATCAATAAACTATTCTTTCTTTAAAAAAGGATGCCATTGAAAGATTTTCACTACAGATCCATGTGGTCAGATCTTTGTTTTAGAAAAACCCCTCTGATGGCAGCATGAGGGCTGGACTGAAAGGAGGACACGTATAGAGGTGGCTGCTGTCACTCCTTGGTTTGTGGCAGCATCATTACAATCTTCAAGGCCAGACTCTTCTAATCTCTGCTCCCTCTTCACATTGCTTTCTCTGTGTATCTGACTCAAATCTCCCTCTTTCACTCCCTTATAAGGACATTTGTAATTGCAGTTAGGGTCCACTCAGATAACCCAGGATAATCTCTCCATCTAAAGATCCTAATCACATCTGTAAAGATGCTTTTTCCAAGAAAAGTAACATTTACAGGTTCCAGGGATTAGGACCAGATATCTTTTGGGGCCATGATTCAGCCTACAACAGATGCCATTCACTGAGGCATTGGTGGAGAAGGAGCGGCAGGTTAGGGGAAGAACATGACAACTAGTCCAAGATGATCCAGTGAATTGGGGACAGGACTGGACCCCTGTTCTTTCCACCATCTGGGCAGAGTCCACAAGTGGATATGGCTGAGTGTCACCCTCTGAGACTAAACCTAGTAAAGCAACACAACCACAGCAACAACAGCAAGGCAAATAACCATTTTCGAAGGTGAAAGTGGTTTGCCACGTATATTGCCAATAGGATGAGCATCATATTTCTTGGAACCAATCAAATGACCAAGTAGTATTCTGGAATTCTATCTGTAGATAAGTCAAGCATGACTTATTCACTTACATTGCAACTTGAATGCTCATATCTCAAAATTGTTCAGGAAAGCTCCTAGAGATTGTTATACTTTCTGGGGAACACCAGAAGACAGTTATGTCAGTAGGTAGGTTATGTCAGTAGGATATCTTATGTCAGTAGAGTAAGCTAAATTGTTATAACAAAGAAAGAGCTTTGTAGTAACTGAGGACACATACACGAGTTAATACAAAAAAAGTATTCCTGACACCTATTGAAAAGGTAATTGCATTTGTACCTTAAGAAAATTATTCTGGCCCTAGCCGGTTTGGCTCAGTGGATAGAGCATTGGCCTTTGGACTGAAGGGTCCCAGGTTCCACTCCGGTCAAGGGCACATGCCCAGGTTGCAGGCTCAGTCCCCAGTGGGGGGGCGCACAGGAGGCAGCCGATCAATGAGTCTCATCATTGATGTTTCTTTCTCTCCCTCTCTGAAATAAAAATAAATAAGTAATTAAAAAAATAAAATATTCAGCAGAATAATTTAAAAATTATTTTAAAAAGAGAAAATTACTCAAACTATGGCTCTTCTCAATCTTGACTTCAGCCTCCCTTACTTGATTAATGAGAATTGCATATTCTGGCCTTGGCTGATGCTTTCTCAACAAATGTACTCTCTCCTTGAGCAAGAAATGAATGGTTTCACATTTTAAACACCAAAACCAAAGAAATTAAATAAATGAAGAGGGAGGAAATTCTGCTTTTGAATGTTAAGAATAGATAACATATTTTTGATATGACTTCTTAACTGCTTTATCATTTAAATTTTCTACATTTATGATACAGGCCATTCTTCCTACCTAAGTTAAAAGCCAATAGAAATTGTGTGTCTTCCAAGTATTCCCACTTCAAAGGGAAAGTTTTTAATGCTTTGATGTGCGCAACACCTCATCTATCTTTCTGCTCTCTACAGTTCATTCCTATCTAGGCTTTTTGATAGCCTTTAAAAGTATGCCTCCCCTCTCCTGTTCACGGCCACAGTGTTGGAGTCCCCAGAACATGCAGAATCTCCTCAGGCCTCAAGCAGCATGATCACCTTTGACTTGGCTTGGGAAAGCCACAAGGAAGCAGCCTGATGGCCTGTCTGGCAAAGCCAATGCTGGGCCCCATCCTGAGTGGCTGCCACCAGCCACCAGACTTCCAGAGGCTCTAGGCTCCTTTGAGCTCCTCTCACCACCCTCTTCCCCTGACCCAACCCCACCCCATAGACTAGGCAGCTGCAGCAAGCAGAAGCAATTGGGTTCTTTAGTATCAAAACAGCAAAACACCAAAAAGGAAGTTGGGAGAGCCCTGCTCTTTACTATCCAAGCCAAACATGAGCCTCCCTAACACCCTGGAAACATGTGCCTTGCACCAAGGGAAAATAAACGATGAGCAGCCAGCAAAAAAAGGAGGAGGAGGAGGAGAAGGAGAAGGAGAAGGAGAAGGAGAAGGAGAAGGAGAAGGAGAAGGAGAAGGAGAAGGAGAAGGAGAAGGAGGAGAAGAATGCCTCCCTTCTCTAAAGCTTCAGTATGATTCACTCAACAATTACTGCTCTTTGGATCGTAATCATAGATCTTCGACATTTCAAATATTGTGTTAAAAATCACTCATCTATTTTACATTTATAGTCTTACTGGAGTTTTGTAATAAGTACTTTATACAATAACTATTGTTTTTAATCTTGTGTGTGACTTTACAAGGCCTAGAAAACACCTAGGTATGAGTTAACCTTATCATGTAATAAAATATTTTGTTCAGAGGAATGAAATTCTAATTTTATCAGAGTATGAGGAACTCGGCCTCTACTTATAGAAACCTGTTTTGAGCACTTTTAGAGAATACTTTGCAACTACATTTTTGGGTGCAACTGTTAAAAGCAGGTATTTGTGCCCCCAATTTTTTAAAAATAGTGACAATAGCTTTAAAGCATCAATCACATGAGATGAAGAACCATCTAGAGCAGCGATTTTCAACCTTTTTCATCTCATGGGACACATAAATTAATTACTAAAATTATGCACCACACCAAAATATACTTTTTGCTGATCTGACAAAAAAAAAAGTAGGTATAGTTTTAATTTATTCACAGTGGATGGCTATTGATATATTGGCTGTTGTATTTTTCTTTTTTTACAATCTAAGGGGAAAGAGGTCAATTCCTCTGACTAGTCAGGTAATGCATGTTTTAAATATTCTTGCAGCACACCATTGAAAAAAATCACTGACCTAAAGGATGATTCTTATGTATAAGAAGACTAACAGGAGACAGTTGAGGTCAAATACACATGCCAACCAAGGAGTGTGAACTTGATTCTTTTAGCCAATGAAGAGCCTTAAGCAGAGCAGTGACAATTACTTTGGTGGCAGTGTGGAGAACAAATTAAGGGAACAAGACTGAGAGCAGGTTGATCAGGAAATGCAGTGTCTGAAATACAGCACAGGGTGTTGGCATGAAGAGAAAGGCACGGATTCCGTAAATGTTAAGGAGGTAAAACTTGTTTGGGTGGACAAGATGAAAGGATTTTATCCCCTTTGCTCAGCAAACCTGGCTTATCGCAGGTGCATTTTCCTGTTACTACCTTGGCAAAAGGTTCTAGTAATGTCCTGGTAAAGAGGTTACCCCTCGTGATTAATACAGACCTGTGGTTATATTGACTGTGCTAATGAAAGAATTTCACCTGTATCGTAGCAGTGACTCTGCACTGCCGTTCAGGACGGAACGCGGGCCTGGTGCAAAGCCATAGCCGTGTCAGTTACCTGCAAATACTCAGGCCTAAGTGAGCACAATGGATTTACTGTTTGGATATTGTGAAAATCCCAAGGATTTTTTTTCTAAAGGGAAATAGAAATAAAATTGTGGTACTTTAAAAGAGAATTCCACAATAATTTCAAAGGTCAGCTATAAGTCTGTATAATGATATTACATTGTAGAGACAGTTAATCAGTGACTACATTTCCCATAGTCCTTAAGGCAACGTCGCCTGCATTACCCAGAGGGCTGTGCGATGTTCGTGCGAACCGTGAGCGTCCGTGGAAACAAAAAAGGTAAACCGAAGGGGTTGTGCTCTTTCACGTTGCTTTTCAACCACATTTCCCATTCTCCTTCCCTACTTCATCCCTCTCCTCTGTCTCCGCTCCTCTGTTCAAGGGCTTCAGAAGCCCAATTACCCGGGGATTTGTCTCTGTGGCAGCTCCAAGTTACCGTTTTTTGTGCCGCACGGCCGGAAGTGTGCTGTGCCCGGAGTCTCCTGGGAAATGTAGTCCGGAGCCCCCGCCCAGCCGAGTGTTTCTGCCTCCTCTGGCCCCAGAACCAGGGGCTGGGTGTCGGAGGCGCCTTGGTGGGGGAAGTTAGGGAGGGTGGTGGGGTGCTGTCTGCGCACGGTCACCTGCTGGCCCAGGACACAGAAAGGTCGTAGAGCCTCGAGCCCGTGGCTAACGGCCCTCCGCAGGGGACTCGGAGGATAGCAGTTGGGGGGGGCGGGCCCGCGCCCCGGAGGCCCGAGACGCTACCCTTACCGCTCGCCTCCGCGGTCAGAGCGGACCGCAGCCTGCTCGCCCTGCGGGTGGTGAGGATTTTCCCGCGTTTGGGGCAAGCTCCTCTGGCGTTACCTGGGCCCCCGAGCACCTAGGCTGGTGGACGGCCTCCTGGAGAGGCGGGGTGTCGTTCGTGCGCCGGCCCCGCTCGGATGGGTCGCGGCGAGAGTTCCCGGGGAATGCGCTCGGCTGGCGTAGGTCCGTCCGAATCACAGTGATGAGAGGGGTCCTTGTGAGTGTCGGAGGAGCCTTTAGTAGAGAACATCCAGCCCAACCCACTTCTGTGACAGGGAGGTACCAGCCCAGAGAGAACCAGGGAATGGCCCCGACGGAGAGTCCGGCCCAGGGCTGTCCGCAGAGCACAGTGCGGGTCACAGAACAGGAGCTCAAGCGTTTGTCTTTTCGTTCTAAGAACAAACAGCTGAAATACTTCGTTTCAAGACAAAAATAATTTAAGAGAAGTGGACCTGTAGACTAAGAGACTTATCAACCAAATGCAATGTGTAGACCTTATTTGGATCATGATGCTAACAACCATAAAATTGTGAATTTTTTAAAAATCAGAAAAATGTGCCCTAGCTGGTTTGGTTCAATGGATAGAGCCTCGGCTTGCGGACTGAAGGGTCCCGGGTTCGATTCCGGTCAAGGGCACATGCCTGGGTTGCGGGCTCCATCCCCAGTGGGGGCCGTGCAGGATCAATGATTCTCTAATCACTGATGTTTCTATCTCTCTTCCTCTCCCTTCCTCTCTGAAATTAATAAAAATGTTTTTAAAAAATCAGAAAAATGTGAACATTGATGATATTAAGGATTTGTTTTAAAATTTTAGTTGGGATATGCCGGGGTTCTTGTTCCGGCATCTAGAAGGGTTCAGCATTCTGGAGAAGGCTGTGCGTAGATTAAATAGGAGTCCAGAGACGAAATATAATTTTGAGAGGCATTTGGTGGTCAGAGGAGCCTAGTTTAAAGGAAACTAAGATCTAAGATCTCCTTGTCTCCGGACCCCATGCTTTTTATTAACACAAATTGTCCTGAGGCCAGGCAGAGATATACACTTCAAAGGGTCAGGGTTTCATATACAGAGGCATTGTCAGAATGGAAGAATTAGCCTACAGCTGTTCAGGTGTTTGGTCAGTAGGAGGAAATACCATGTAGATTAAGATGCCCTGAGCTGTGTGGCAGCCAACAATCAATTTAATGTATCCTATTCAGGTTTGGGGAAATGCCTTCAGCCATTCCCAGATTCAGCCCTGCTGTCATGTTGGAATTGGCTTCTGGCAGGGATAATGCTATTGGGGTTGTGCTTTAAAAAAGAAAATAGTTTTAGGAACATATACTGCTGACTATATGGGTGAAATGATGTCTGAGATTTGCTTGAAAACTACCCAGTGGGGTGGGGGGGAGCAGATGTAAGCAGATTAGCCAGGTGTTAATAATTATTGAAGGTGGAAATAGGTACAGGGAGATCACTAAACTATTTGTTAGGTTTAATGTAAGGTTTAATCTGAGATGTAAGATTTAATCTGACCAAAGCCAATAAATTGACCAAGACAAGCAGGGTGAGAGCGAAATATCGCGTTTATTGGAAGCTCTCGGGTGAGGTCCCACGGTCTGGGAGTACAGGCCAGGGGAGTCACACCCACCTATGCCTGGCAGAGATTTTTTATGCTGCTGTTGGACCAATCAGGTTTATCTGAGGTAGCTTGTGGCGGGTGATTGATGAGCGGGAAGTTGGTGCAGCTGCACCCTGGCCATCTTGAGAAGTCTCCGGTGGTTATTTATTGGCCATCAGCACAACAGGATGCTCTGGTAGGTCCCAGGATGGCAGCTATTGTCCAGCAGGATGTGGCTCAGCAGTTCTGGGTTGTTTTGTCCAACTCAGCTGGTGGGATCAGGAAAGACCCTATTTTCCCAGCCCCAGACCTTACACTATTCTCTATTTTTTTATTAAAAATTGTAAATTTTTTATTGATTCATAAAATATACAGTATAGGGTTATGTATGGAATAGGATATTGGGTAAATGGATTATCATGTCGAGATAGCGAGCACCATTAACTGTTATTGCCTGAGCAGCCGCATTTTCGAATATTGGTCTGATGATGCCTCCAGCCCAAAATCCACACCAAACAGTGACACATTGTGGATGCATTTGTTTCTCAACAATCACTCATGGATTTTCTGAACCCCAAATGCGACAATTTTGTCGATTAACCAAGCCATCAAGATGAAAATGAGCCTCATCGCTGAAGATGATTTTGTTTGAAAAATCAGCATCCACTTGTTGTTGTTCTATCATACATTTTTTTTTTAAATTTCAAGTGTAGCCCTGGCTGGTTTGACTCAGTGGATAGAGCGTCAGTCCTCTGACTAGCAGCGGTTCTCAACCTGTGGGTCGCGAACAATGAAAATACATCCTGCATATTAGATATTTACATTATGATTCATAACAGTAGCAAAATTACAGTTATGAAGTAGCAATGAAAATAATTTTATGGTTGGGGGTCACCACAACATGAGGAACTGTATTAAAGGGTCACGGCATTAGGGAGGTTGAGAATCACCCTTTAGTCGCTAAACGGTCCCAGATTCTATTCTGGTCAAGGGCACTACCTCCCTTGCAGGCTTGATTCCTGGCCCTTGGTCAGGGCATGTGCAGAAGGCAACCCATAAATGGTTCTCTCTCTGTGTGTCTCCCTCTCCTTTCCACTCTTTCTAAAAAAAAAAAATCAATGGAAAAATATCCTTAGGTGAGAATTAACCAAAAAAATTTTTTCAAGTGTAATTTTCTTAACTCCTAGAGCTACATACTGAGTTATCTATCAGAAAAAAGATATACTGTGTATACTGTGTGGGATTTGCTTTAAAGTACTACACACACACAGGAAGTGTGAGGGGGCATGGAAGAAACAAGAATGGCAGAAAATAGGGGACCTTGAGCTATGGAAGCTGTGTGATGGATACGTGAGAGTTCATTGTATTATTGTATTCTCTTTAATGGGACTGAGATTTTCTATAATCAGGTTTTTAATTTTTTTTTAATGGATTTTATGGTTTTCAGAAAGTGCCTACATATAAAGAAGCTCATGAGAAGTTTACCTGAAACTTAATCTTCCCCTGCACAAGTGAGCCTCGTTGGGGACTTCTCCAGTTAAGAATGATAAGCATGAAGGGGGAGAGGGAGCTGTGTCCTTGGTCACCCAGACCCCTCAAAAATAGGACAGAATTCTGACGGTGAAGGTAGAGGCAGCGGACCACTTGAGGGGGTAGGGAAGAGACCTTGCTGCAAGGAATCTTCCAGCCCGAGCTGGCCTGTCCACACGAGCTGGCCTGTCCACACTTCAGACAGTTCTAAGACTAGGAGATTCTGCCATGTCTCCAGGAACTCTGCTGCCAGTGGCTGAGGCCTGAGATGCCCTCGAAGGCACTGAACCTGAAGCTGCTGGTGCTGGAGAAGTTCCGGGCCATTCTGCCCTGGGAGCTGCAGTGCTGGGCCTGGGAAAGCACCTGGGCCTTGGAGAGAGAGAACTTAATGAGCCAGGCCAGCAGTTAGGAGAAGAGAGAACGGGTGTAAGGATAGGGAGGGGTCTGTCCCCTCCAAAGAAAGACCCAATCTATGTTGACCCAGCTCTGTCTCTCTATTCATCCTAGCTCTTGCCTTTTTACCTGTGGGACATAAATTAGGTCTTGGATGACCTCCTAGTGCAGTGGTTCTCAACCTTCTGGCCCTTTAAATACAGTTCCTCATGTTGTGACCCAACCATAAAATTATTTTCGTTGCTACTTCATAACTGTAATGTTGCTACTGTTATGAATCGTAATGTAAATATCTGATATGCAGGATGGTCTTAGGCTCATTCGACCGCCAAAGGGGTCGTGACCCACAGGTTGAGAACCACTGTCCTAGAGGTTTTGGGGTTTTTTTTTTGTTTTTTTCCTGTGACATTCTGATTCTCATTCTTACCTGGGTATGCTTCATTTAAAGCATTATTTAAACCACTCGATTTTTAAATCATTCTCTACAGTAACTAAAATACATGTTCTTTCATAATACAGAATTACATTGCTGGCTGCACTTCCCATTCCTGGTGCTTCTTACCCACCCTCTTCTTGAAACTGAAAAGTAAGGGCTTTGACTCCGTGCCCCTTCTGTTTACCCTCTTACTGAAAGACTAACCATGAGACCCTGAGGTGTGTGATCTTTCCACATTGTGTTCTTAGCAAACTTGTTATCTCTGGAGACACAAACCCAAAGTTTGAAAAAACTCCCAGTCTCAGCAGACATCTTGGCCTTATCCTCATAAAGGACCTGAGCTAGAACCACCCAGCTCAGCTGCTCCCCGATTTCCCACCCTCAGAGACAGAAAATTCATGTTAGTTGTTTTAAGTTGCTAAATTTTAGAGTAATTTGTTACTCAGCAAAGAAAACTAATACAAGTGTACTAACAAAGGATTCGGGTACCGTTTCCAGGTTTCAGAAGCCACCTGGGAGAGGTAGGTTGGATTTTTAAAAATTGGAATTTCTGGGCTGTTCTGATATCTGTTGAGAACAACTAGACCGAATATTTGAAACTAGGACATTTAGGGGAAAATTCAGGAAATATGATCATATCAATAGGTCCAAATTATATTTACTTTAATATAAATCAAACTTATTTAATTTTCAAAATAACTGTTACCAAAATGAATCAAAATTTAATTTGAAATAATCAACCTGTACACCTTAAATATATATAACTTTTAATTCCATATCTCAATAAAACGGGGAAAATTTAAATAAAATTAATTTTAAAAAATTTACATTATCTTGGGAAATAGGATTATAAAGGACTTTCTCTTTAAACATTTTTTGTTAAATATGTAACAATTATTTTTTGCAATGAACATATATTGCTTTGTAACCAAGAAATAATTTTTAAAGAAATACACTAGGGCCATGGTCGGCAAACTGCGGCTCACGAGCCACATGGGGCTCTTTGGCCCCTTGAGTGTGGCTCTTCCTAAGCCTTAGGAGTACCCTAATTAAGTTAATAACAATGTACCTACCTATATAGTTTAAGTTTAAAAAATTTGGCTCTCAAAAGAAATTTCAGTCGTTGTACTGTTGATATTTGGCTCTGTTGACTAATGAGTTTGCCGACCACTGCACTAGGAGAAATGTCTAACAAGAGCAAGTAATTCTCTTTATTTCTTTCAGAGCTCCCAATTTTCTTAATTGGCTCCAGGACAGGACGTTTTCGGGAGAAGATAGCACCTCCACCATCTGCACAAGAGTCCCCTCCCATCACCAGCTTCCGCCAATTGAGTCTTGGGAGCACCAATCCCTCCAAGCCCAGTGGTAAGAGGCAGCATCCCCGGGAGAAGAGAGCAAGGTGTGGGTTTCTTTTTCCTGGGCCCGCCTGTGTTGGGAAGCAGGACAGACATCACAGCTTCAGGTCTGTGCTGAGAGCTGAGTGTGATCATCGAACTCGTGTGAGGCCTTCAGTCCAGAACTCAGAGCTACTGAGGTCGTTGGAGGACAGCGAAGGGAACGGAAAGCCTGGTCTCAGTCATTCACAGGTGCCCCAACCACAGCGGTGTCCTCCATTCCTGAGGAGTTTACAGTAGTGGGCTGTTTTGAATTCCGGTGTGATTGCTTTTTAGCCAAATCACACTCAATGGTGTAGCTCACGGAGAGCTTTATTTACGATAACTTTATCTGTTCTTCTTCCCTACATGTAGCCGGTATTCAGTTTGAAGGGAACCTAGGAGATCAAGCCACACAGTGAGGTGTACGGAGGGGGCTCTGCTTCAGGGAAAGGCAAGGGAGTTGGGAATCAGGAGAATAGACCCCATGAGGCATCCACCTCACCCTGGGGCAGTGGTCGGCAAACTCATTAGTCAACAGAGCCAAATATCAACAGTACAACGATTGAAATTTCTTTTGAGAGCCAAATTTTTTAAACGTAAACTATATAGGTAGGTACATTGTTATTAACTTAATTAGGGTATTCCTAAGCTGGCCTTTGCGCATGGGCCATGCAGTTTCAATCGCACTGTACCTGCGCGCCCGCACGTGGTATTTTGTGGAAGAGCCACACTCAAGGGGCCAAAGAGCCACATGTGGCTCGCGAGCCACGGTTTGCTGACCACTGGCCTAGGGGAGCAGGCAGGGTGGAGGGGCTGGCACACTCCTGTGTCTCCTTCAGAGAGGAGTGGGTAGGTCACTGTTTCTTTGCTGTTAGTTCTCAGAACTTAGCACTCCTTTGTAACAGGACAATACACACTCATTGCAAAGCCAAGAAGCACCACTAGGAGGCTGCTGCTGTAGATAGCAGTGTCCACTGATCTTTGCATGAGCACAAGGAACCAAGAATTGACTTCACAAATTTGTAGGTGCCTGTGGATTCCTACATCAGGGAGAACATCAGTCTCTTCTTGTTCTGTGTCCTTATTTCAGCTCCCCCACTGAAATAAGCGACATGTTCAACAGCTTCTACAGTCTCTTGTCTCCTGTCTCTGTTGGGATCTCTGGCACACAAAACTAGGGGAGGCCAGAGGCAGGGATGACACTTATCTGGTGCCCACCAGAATGGATGGATGGGTTGTTAAAGTATTGAAATGCTTCTAGACTAATTGTTAATCGGGTTTCTGCTGTGTCCAATAGCCACCTTGGCCACTCTAGTTACTCCCCTCCTGCTCCCTGCCCCCCCTCCCCCAACCCTCAGGACCTCTCTAAGGTCCAGCATCTAATGCTTATCACTGGGTCCTATAAGAGGACTCCAAGCCCCTGCCTCTGGATCTGCAGATGAGACCAGCATCTGTTCTAATCAGTCAGTGTTCGATCACTACCAGTAGCTAATTGTAATCTCCCCCTTGGCCTTCATTCACCTTCACTGCCCATGCTCATGAAGGAAAGCTGAGTATCGTAGCCCAGCAAAATGAACACTGGAACCAACTGGATTCAGGTTCTGGCTCCACTGTATACCATGTGATCTTGGGCAAGTCCTTTCACTTCTCTGAACCTCTGCTTCCTCATCTGCAGGCATCAAATAAAATAATAGAGGAGAAAGTAAATGAGAAATGTAAACTACAAAGTGCTTACATATAAAATTATTTTTAAATTATTGTTTAAGATGTGTATGAGTTCTTTGTCCAACACAGGACCATACCTTCAGATCCTGCTTTCTTCCCTCTGCCCGGGCCCCTTCCTTTTTACCTGTTCTGCAGTTACCTCAAGCCTCCATCCTCTGCCACCCTCAAAGGGGTACCCCAGGACTTCACTCTTTGGAGGTCACTAACCTTGGCCCCTTGGAGCAACTTTTTTGGCTCCCTTCCTTAGCAACATCCTCTTCCTGTGTGGCCAGGAGAGCTCAACTTACTCTTCCCTACTTCTCCTGTCACCCCACTACCATTTTGGTCCCCTGCTTTTTCCTCATCCACTCCTCAAGTTTGTAAAATATTAATTTGAGACATTTTCTTATAAAAGTAATACTTGTCCATTATAGGAAATACAAATATGGCTAAAAAGAAAATGAAAGTAGCCCAGCCGGTGTGGCTCAGTGAACTGGGAGGTCATGGTTCAATTCCTGGTCAGGGCATATGCCTGGCTTTTGGACTCGATCCCCAGGGCATGCAGGAGGCAGCCAATCAATGATTCTCTCTCATCATTGATGTTCTATCTCTCTCCCCCTCTCCCTTTCTCTTTGAAATCAATAAAAATATATTTCTTTAAAAAGTAAATGAAAGCAACTTATAATCTTACTACATGTATAGTATTTATAACCTTTTTTAAAAATGTAGGATCATTTATTACTTTACAACCTCATTTTATTGCTATATCACATGCCATTATTTATGTAATCGATCCCCTATGATAGGCATGGATTTTATTTCAATAGCTTTTTACTTTGCACTATGTATACTTTCAGTTGGTGACCTAAGGACTGAGGACAAGGAGTTCAGCTCAGATCAGGAACTTGCTGAAAGAAGACCCCACCGGTAGCTCATGCAGACTCAGTGAAACTTTGCAGGCACCAGTGCTGGAATGTTCCAGTACCTTAGACCAGCATCAGGGAACCTTCCAGAGGGGAAGTCAAGCAGCTTGCCCACCCATGAGAAGAGTTTGAAGAGTTTCAAGCAGGAGAAACAAAATCTGTGAAGGTGACGAGAGTGACCAAACCTGCAGGCCAGGTGAGCCCCTTGTTCAAAATCAGAAAAGTTGTCCAGGCAAAGACCCCATAGATGCAGCACATGTGGCAGATCCGGCCTTGGTTCAGCATCAGAGCCACAAAGGAGAGAACCCTCAAGAGTAGAATGGACTTCCAGATCTCCCAGAACCTGGCTGTCAGGCCCACCGGTGTGACTAGGTCAGGAAGGTGTTGCTTTTATGAGTGAAAGGTGAACACATGAGAGAAAGGGACCACCAAGCCCATGGGCAGGAGAGGCTGGGGGGGAGGGGGGGTGTGAGCTGAAGGGGAATGAAGGACATGGCTAGAGAGAGGGGGTAAGGCATCCTTCAGGAAGTCTGGTCCCCCAAAACAGACCCTCTCTTTGTGGTTTTGTAACCAACCAGGTTTGTAACGTGATACATTTTCTCTCTCTCTTTTTTTTAACAAAAGTAATCCATCTCTGTAACAGAAACTTAAAAAATATGGATGAAAAAAATGTAATCACCTATTCCAGAATCACTGGTAACATTGAGTGTCTTCCTAATATATATATATATATATATATTTCAGATTTTTTTAAAAAAAGAGGTGGGCACCCCCTGGTCCCACAGCTACATGCAGCCCCAACTTCCTTTCTCACTGGCTCTCACAGTGAGAAGCAAGGTTCCTGCAGGCGTGTTTGTGAACACAATAGCAATACCTCTTTAGGCCACAAGAGGGGGATGTTTGCTCATGCACATCTATCCCAAAATTTCTGGGGAACCTTGAAGTCTCCTTCAGCTCCCCTTGAGGCCACCTATAGTAATTCTGTTCACTGCATCTCTTGGAAACCTTGGTTCATGAGGAAAAAAAAGACGGAACTCACATTCTCACTCTATAACCACATCTGCACCGATTTAACAGATCCTTGAACAGCTGTCTCCTCACTGTTGCAGCCTTGGGCTTCTGAATGAGGGGATAAACTACAAACCTGATCAGGTCATCTCCCAAACCCAACATTTTTCACGGTCCTCATTGTTCTTAGGGTCCAGCCTAAGGGCCCTTGTTGGCTGGTTCGCTCTTCTCCTCCCTCCACCCCATATTCTGTGCTCCTCACAAACACGGCACTGGCTGTCTCCCAGCCCCTTTCACTCTGCTCCTCACTAGCACACCTTCTAGCATGTTTCTCTCTGGAAGGTGCTTCTCAGCACACACCAGGCCGGAACTTATTCTTCCAGGTCTTAGCTGACATCTTCCTCCCAGAAGTCACTCTCAGCCCTGTGAATCTGGCTTATGTGATTCTCCTCTGTGCGTAGCATGTGTGAGCATGTGGAATAGACTTCAGCTCTCCCAGTGCCTAACAGTCAGGCCCCCCTGTGTGACCAGGGCAGCAGGCTGTTACTGTGATGAAAAGGATGAGCACATGAGAGAAAGGCAGAAGGGCAGGGACTGCCAAGGCCATGGGCAGGAGAGGCTGCCCATAGCATAGCATGCGGGATGACTGCCTCTAGAACGGAAGTTCCACGAGGGCAGGGACCATGTCAGGCTAATTCACTCACATTCCCAGCACCAGAGCACAGTGCCTGGCACTCCGTAGGGCTCAACAAAGATTTAGTAAATGGATGGAGGAATGAGTGAGTGTGCCTTTCCCAATTCCTTGAAGTAGAGTCTTCAAAAGCCAGCCCTCCCCAGTTCACCACGTGCCTCTTGTTGTCCCCGGAGGCTCTGGAAACATACCCGGGGAACAGTGGTGCTACAGGACCAGGTCTCTCCCTTGTGATTGTTGAGAAACAGTGGGGTTTGGAGTGAACAGATCCAGCTTCAAGGAAAGCTCTGCCCCTTGCTGGCTGTGCATGTGCCTTACCTTCCTTACTTGCAAAGGGAGATAAAGGTGCCAGGCTTGCAGGATTGCTCTGAGAAATCCTACTCTGGTCTGACATGTTTTTGTAGACAGTCAGATCAGAGTTCTTTCTCCTTCCCTCCCCAGCGCTCTCTCCTAACCCCCTCCAACCTGAAACCTGGGAACACAGGCACTCCGACAGTCTCAGAGGTGCCACTGTTTTCCTGATTCCCCTCTCTTTTCCCCGAAGTTGCCAAGCCATTTGCTGCTGAGACCGCCTTCCCTGTCCTTGTTCTTCGGCATAGATTAATAGTGCCAGGTAGAGATCAGAGCAGGTACCGAAAAGGTACTTGCTGAATGAATGAATAACTGATTGGACCAACCAGTCACAGCAGCATCCCCTGCGGCATGCTTGCCAGTGGTCAAACATGTAAGGTAGTCACCAGCCTGTTGATGGGCAGGTGGTCTCCTGCCCACCTGACACCACCAGTAAGAGATTAAGCCAGTGATGGCAGACCTTTTGAGCTCGGCGTGTCAGCATTTTGAAAAACCCTAACTTAACTCTGGTGCCGTGTCACATATAGAAATTTTTTGATATTTGCAACCATAGTAAAATATTTATATATATATTTTAAATATATTTTATTGATATTTTACAGAGAGAAAGGGAGAGGAACAGAGAGTCAGAAACATCGATGAGAGAGAAACATCGATCAGCTGCCTCCTGCACACCCCCTACTGGGGATGTGCCCGCAACCAAGGTACATGCCCTTGACCGGAATCAAACCTGGGACCTTTCAGTCCGCAGGCTGACGCTCTATCCACTGAGCCAAACCAGTTTCGGCGAGATTTATATTTTTGATATTTATTTTATATATTTAATGTATTTTATTGATTTTTTTTTTTTACAGAGAGGAAGGGAGAGGGATAGAGAGTTAGAAACATCGATCAGCTGCCTCCTGCACACTCCCTACTGGGGTTGTGCCCGCAACCAAGGTACATGCCCTTGACCGGAATCGAACCTGGGACCCTTGAGTCTGCTCTATCCACTGAGCCAAACCGGTTAGGGCTTATTTTATATATTTAAATGCCATTTAACAAAGAAAAATCAACCAAAAAAATGAGTTCGCGTGTCCCCTCTGACACGCGTGTCATAGGTTCACCATCACTCGATTAAGCACCTGTGAAGACACAGGCCAAGACTTTACTGAAGAAAGAAGAAGAAAGAGAGGCATTGTAGCCCCATGGAGAGGAAATGGCCAAGAGCTGCAGAGCCCAGATCCTTCTCACGCACAGAGTAGCACCCCCGCATGTGGACCCCAAGGGTTATAGGTGCACGTCTGTGTGACTGAACAAGCTCTCTCCCTCAGGATGCCTGCTTTCCCTACAGCCAAAGTCTGTCAGGTCTGGCACTAAAAGTACACGTTCCAGATTTGCCCTTTCATCGTGTTTTCTCTCATGAGGCCCCTCCAGCAGTCTTCTTTGGGCCCTGCGTGGTCTGTGTTTCATGAGCTCCATCATTCATAACCCCTCTCTCCAGTCAGAATCTTCCGGTGATGAATAAGGGCTGATTTCTCCTCAAATGATCACCACCCCCAATTCATTCCATTTGAAAGATGTAGCTCCAGAATGGCTGATGTGCTGTTGGGTGAGGTCTGTGCTTTCTCAGTGCGTCACTCCACTCATTGAGGAGTTTTCTCCTGTCTGAGACGCTAAAGGGTGAGCTCTGACGTGGGTTCTGCTCCATCTGTACGATAGCCCGGCCCTGTGATTTCATCCTCTCTGACAGCTGCTCGCTCCCTCTGAGGATTTTCCTGCACTGCTGCTATTCATAGGGTATCTCCAGTGTGAATGAGGAGATGAATGGAAATTTTCTCTATTCATAATATTCAAAGATTTTCTCTGCTCCATGAGTCCTTTGAAATTCTGCCAGAATTCTGCCCAAATGTTTGGCCACGTGCGTTGTGCCAGCAGAGCCAGGTTTGGGCTGAGAGTCTGGTTTCCCAAGATGATGTCTTTATCAGCATTAAGTCCCCAGATCCTGGCCTCTGAAGAGAAGCAGTCCTCCCGGGATGACCCCACAGTTCTACTCTGGCCGGAAGGCTGAGGTTTGTGTTGACAGCACAGCCTTGACCCTGGCTTCACACTGTGATGACACCATAGGAAATGAGAGTGTCACAGGTCCCCCCACCCCCGTTTCCCATAAACTTCTGTGCAAGGAGACAGCAGCCTCTGGCTCTCTCCTCTTGTGATTACAGCAGGAGCAGGGAGAGCACAGGGAATGAAGAGGGACTTATGTCCTGCGCACCCGGGGTCGTTGCTCACGCCACACTCCCCCTGGAATGCAGCCCTCCCCCCTGCATTCTGCCCGTCCTCCAAGCCTGCCCAAAGCCCACTTCTCCCCTGAAGCCTTCCAGGGACCCTGCAGGCCTGCGCTGGGTTTCTGCTCTGCACATCTATGAGCGTTCACTGCCTGTGAAACCCACTCAGCACTCAACGTAACGTCCTAGTCCTTCATACCTTTATATCAAAAGCCTTTTTCTTCTCGGACAGACTTCAAGCTCTTTGAAAGAAAAAAACACATCTCATCTTTATGTTCTTCCTGGCACCTCTGAGAGACGTGGAGAGACTCAGGACGACTTGTGGACACTGCAAGTGAAGCTGGTGGGTCGTGGTTCAGGGCCGTCATGGATGCAGGTGCGTTTACCTTTGACTGAAGACAGAAGTGCCTTCTCAGGGATGGCTGTCGGTTGGTCTTGTCCACGTCATACAGGAGGGAGGTGATCTCACTGGGATTACCACCTCCCCACCTGACGCCGCCCCCCAGCCAGGCAGGCCAGCCTGCTTAGCCCCGATATCCCTAGGTGGCAGATGCTTTGTCCCCATTGCCTCAGCTCTGCCTGAGAACTGTTGCTACCCACCATGCATTGTGCTAATCCTGGGAATGACCTTGCGGGGCGGGCAGGAAACAAGCAAGAAATCAGTATTGTTGCAGAGCTGTCCATCAGTGTCCTGGCTAAGTACGGCTGGCTTAGGGACCACCTTCGGCGTGAACTTGGAGCTCTTAAGGGCAAGGTCTGAAGCATCTCCATATTCACAGTGCCTGCTTGGCACCTAGTAGGTATTCGTCTGGCATGGAGTACGTGAATTGTGTCTATGTTTAGCAGCAACCGAGAAGTTCGTGGAGGCAATGAGAACAGATGTTAATGGCTGTAGTGAACGTCCACCTGGGCCACTCCCATCCCCAGTGAGAGTGCATCATCCCTTTGATGTATAGCAAAGTTCTGGGTCCCAAGCACAAAACACAGAAAGGGCCTCCTGCCTTTTGTTGTTGCAAAATCTCTGGCTCCCCTGGGGAAAGAAAAAAGAGAGTGTGTGTTTGGGGGGGGAGGGGGGACATTCTGTGTATACATCTAAGGTCTTATAGAGCCTTAGAGCTCTCTTCTACTTTTCTTTGTTGTTGTTAATCCTCACCTGAGGATATTTTTTCTATTGCTTTTCAAGGAGAGTGGAAGGGAGGGAATGTGAGAGAGAGAGAGAAACATCAATGTGAGAGACACAATGACTAGTTGCCTCCCACACGTGCCACAACTGGGGGCGGAGAATGAACCCGCAACCCAGGTACATGCCCTTTACCGAGAATGGAACCCTCGACCTTTCAGAGCGTTGGCCAACGCTCTAACCACTGAGAAACACCAGCAGGGCTCTTCTACCTTTCTTTAACAGCTAGTAAGTTAGAATGTTCTTGGTGGGATATCAGAGCTGCTTCCCAGTGCTGGCACTGCCTGTGAAAACTGCATTTCCTAGGGACCCAAGGCTGCTGCTAGGCGGCTGGACTTTGAACCTGGTGAAGCTGTGAGCCCACCATTGAGCATTAAGAAGAGAACGAAAGGGAGGGTCCCTGCCAGCTGCCTCTGCATCTCCTTAGCAAGGCTTACACGTTCACGGACAGGAGGACAGCTGGTTGCTGGGTTTTGTGCTTCGGTCTTGGAAGTTTTTAGTTTATTTCTGCTCCCGAATGACTGGGTCTCAACTGGAGTGACCAGATGGCTGCATTTGACCATGATGGTTGGACTGTGGCCATAGGTCAGGTACTGTCTGCCACTTGTCTCCATGTACCATCTACTGAAATGGAACTGAAATGTCCAATGTGTTTGATGCCCTCTTTAGTCTTCTCCCATGTGGTCTCTCTCTCGGTAGAGTACCCTAAACTTATATTGTTGTTCCACTCCACTGCACCTGTCCTACCTCACAACCCCTTTTGTGGGGAGCTGCCTCATTCAGCCCTCACTGCCAGGTGGCTGTGTTGTATCACATGACCCTGCCTCTTTCCCCTCCCCGCACATACATCCAAGGTCACTGGACCAGGACCCATGATAGACTGGCCAAGGACTTTTGAAGTCACCAGGCTCAAAAATATAAAGAAACGTAGTTAGACCAGTCAGACTCTCCTTTTGGGAAATTTGAACCAAAAAAAAATAAGACAGTATAGCAGTGTGTGACAAGATGTTGAGGGCAAGTAGGGCCTGGGTGGAGCAATGTGCTAGCCCGGTGGTCGGCAAACTGCAGCTCGGCAAACCGCGGCTCGCGAGCCACATGCGGCTCTTTGGCCCCTTGAGTGTGGCTCTTCCACAAAATACCGGCTCTCCCACAAAATACCGACTTCTGCGCATGGGCCACGAAGTTTCAGTCGCACTGTACATGCGCGCCCGCACGTGGTATTTTGTGGAAGAGCCACACTCAAGGGGTCAAAGAGTTGCATGTGGCTCGCGAGCCTCGGTTTGCCGACCACGGTGCTAGCCAGAACTAAATTGAAGAAAAATCTTGGAGATTGAAGGGGGAAAAAAGCTATGACACAGTGAAAATGCACGTATTTCGGAAGGAACAATGAGCCTGCCTTGGGCAAGAGGATAAAGGAATGACCAGAGCAGAGCTGGGACTCTGTAAAAGGAGAAAGGAGCCAGCCGCAGAGGCACCCTGGCACTCCATGGCTCACCAGGCCCATGTGTGTCATTGCAGCAGCTGGTTACTTATTTCTTTTGCTGTCCGTTGGTTTAGAAATGGGCATATGGCTTTAGTTCTGCCTAAACATATTAGGAAATGGCTGGGGGACGTTCTGGGAAGAATTTTGCTTTTTGATTCAAAGAGAAATAGTGAAGGGGCCTGTCCCTTCTTTCTGCTTTGAATATGGATGTTTGACACTTAGAGCTACAGCAGCCATCTTGAGACCATGAGGCAACAAGGACAAGGAAGAAAGCCAACCCACCGAGGTTGGCCTAGCAGACAGACAAAAAGAACCTGGGTCCTTGCTGATATTGTTGAATCACTATACCTATCCTGGAACCACCTAATTCCAGTCTTATTGATATATTAGTTAAATGTCTATTTTCTAAGCAGATTTCTGCTATTTGAAGCCTTAGGCATTTTTGACCAATATAGCACTCCCCTGAACCTCTCCATCTTCAAATCCTTAGAGCCTCATGGCTCTAGATATAGCTCCAAATGGAAAATTAACCCAAGCTTAGACATTGGAAATCTTACATATATGGCAGGAAATAAAGTCAAGATTTCTCACAGCCTACAGAGCAATTTCAGCACTTAGTCCCAATTCTCGGGGCCTACAGAACACAGACAAGGGAAAAAACATAGATTCAGGAAAGTTCTAGATGCATAAACAGGCGTCTTCTAAAATGGGGCTCAATGTTGAATTTTAGGAAGACCCAAGTTCAGCGGGAAGAGGGTGGGTGTGGGGATGGTGTTAATGCCTGAGATGCAGAGCCTGAGCATGGGCCAGAGAGCCATGGAAAGCACACAGAAGGAGCAGTAAGCTGATGTGGGCAAATGGTGGGTGGATTGGATGACTTCTGGAGAAGGAGGCCACTGTCCACAGCAGGATTTTATGAGCTCCAAGTAGTTTACAACAGCTGGAACTGGTGGAAAACTAGGCCTTTTGGTTACTCTCCAGCCACCCTTAATGACATTTCAGATCCTCTTAGGAATAAGGTGCCCTGAATGGTAACCATCCTGTGTATGGGTACTCCCCACATTCTTTATTCTTTGTTGTTTTCTCCTCCTCCTCCTCCTCCTCCTCCTCCTCCTCCTCCTCCTCCTCCTCTTCTTCTTCTTCTTCTTCTTCTTCTTCTTTCTCTCTCTCTCTCTCTCTCTCTCTCTCTCTCTCTCTCTCTCTCTCTCCTCTAAGCAAAGCCAGAAGACAGAAATGCACAAGGCCTGCTCTAGCTGGTTTGGCTCAATGGATAGAGCTTCGGCCTGCGGACTGAAGGGTCCCAGGTTCGATTCTGGCCAAGGACACATGACTGGGTTGCAGGCTCGATCCCCAGTAGGGGGTGTGCAGGAGGCAGCCAATCAATGATTCTCTCTCATCATTGATGTTCCTATCTCCCTCTCCCTTCCTGTCTAAAATCAATAAAATATATTCCAAAAAAAAAAGAAAGAAATGCACAAGGCCTGAATATCTTCTACCTCAGTGGGAGAGTGAATATAGTGGGAGGCAAGGATGTCTTCTGGAAAACTTAAAATCCTAGTCTGAGATACGGAGTTAGGGTGGAAGGAGAGAAAGCAGTCAATTGATAAGACATTAAAATCAAAATCCTATGAGATAATCAGAGAAAGGAATGAAAGCTTTGGTTGGGGTGAAGGAAACAAAAAGTTTAAATCTCTACTTACTGCAATTAATGCTTCCATGTGATACTTAATAAACCCTGAATTTCCCCCAAGTTTCCCCATATATCACTAAAGTTTCTCTGAAAATCAGTAAAGGAAAGAACTAAAGGCTTTTCCTCATTCTCCATAATCAAGCTTTTTCTCCAGAATGAATTAGCCTGATTACTGACTGAACACCCTCCCACAGTCTTTATGAGTGTGTGTTTCCTGTGAATTCTCCAAAGATGAGAAAGGGCTATGTTGTCCCCAAATGATTTTCCACATTGATTATGCTCACAGGCTTCTCGCTAGGACGAGTGATCTGATGTTCAATGCATTCCACGCCTCCCCTAGATAGTATTCCATATTCATCACATACAACTGCTTTAAGTCCAAAGTGAATTAGCTGACATTGTCTAAGGATGGAACTCTGATTGAAGGTTCTTCCTTATCCATTATGCTCCCAGGGCTCCTTTCTGCCATGAAATCCCAGATGTCTTATTAGCTCTGAGCACTGTCTACAAGTATTTTACTTCCATTATGTGCTTATGGTTTTTCTCCAATGTGAATTCTCTGACATTCAATGAGCTTTACTTTCGTGAAAGCGTTCACATTTATTGCGTTTGAGGAGTGTCTATTACATGTGAATTAGCTGATGTCATATGGTGCTGTTGCTAACAGATGCCTCCCATAAGCAGGGATCCTCTCCAAGATGAATATTAGGATGTTCAGTAGGATGGGAGCCCCAAGGGAAGTTTCCTGTATTCATAACAAAGATGTTCTCTCCAGTATGACTACCATAATAAAATAAATTTTGAATTCTTTTCTAAGATTTGGTCACACTTATCATTTTTGGGTTTTCTCACTTCTAAAAAGTGTAGGAAGAATTGCAAAGTTTCCAACTATTCATGACATTCATGGGTGAGGTCCCTAATGGTTCCCTAGGATGTCTCCATATTCACAGACCTCTACAAACTCAGGGACCTGGTCAGCACTCCACAGGGACCTTCTCATTGCATCCACTTACGAGTCGATGACTGTTAGAGTTTTTGCTTGGGGTCAGTTTCTGCTCTGGGTCTCAGTCTCACAATATGAAAATGTAGGTAGAATTCAGAAAATGTAAATATCAACCATTCTTTCTTAAAGGACAAGAAGATTTCTTGGACTCCAAATGAAAGATATGGGGAGATTTAAG